AGTAAAAAAAAATATATTTTTTAAAGTAATGTAACAAAATTTACCTTTGAAAGATGTGAGACCACCTGAATGAGTTCCCTAAACCAGTCTCTGATGTGTTGTCCTCTGCATCCAAACAGTCAATAAATATGGTGAGTGATAAAATGCAGTAGGTTCCTGTTAATCTGCACCTCCTCTTCTAAGATAGCGTAAAAAGAAGTCTGGCATGAATATGTATTAGGGCCATGCTGGCCAGAGTTTTGCCTTCACCTCAGCTAAAAGTGAGTATGAGCTAAGTTTGAGTAACAAACACTCCCTGTAGGCTTGGAGTGGAAGCTGTACTCAAAACTTGTCTCTAACACCATAAGAATGCTTTCCAATGTGACCTGCTTCCACAGCAAAGCATCAAACTGTCCATTGACATTCAGCACAGCAGCAAAATCCTCTAACTGTTAGTCATCTATGTCCTTAGTATGTTTCAAGCACTGTGAATAATATTCTTACAAATAAGCTACTTAATCAGTCAAATATTTAAGGAATGAGTGAGAACAAATTAATCTGAGTGTAATCGGTCTAAACCCAATATATACTGTACAGTAACAATCTGAACCTGTCTGCATTTTTTATTTTGATGATCTGATTTGATGATGTATCAGACCTCCTGCCCTGTATGTAGTCTGTCTATCCATAAAGTGATTTCACCATTGTCGCAACACTGGTATATTTATCAAAAGGAGGAATGCAATAAATTTGATGTATCTGCAACTACAGGGATTTTTAAGTCCCAGCAGTGAAAGTTTGGATTGATGTTAAAGTTTTCCATATGATGCTTGATGAATGGTTGTTATACAGCTTGACATAAAACATAATTACTAAATAATATGATTTAATAAAATTAACAAAGCATTTTATGGTTCCAAATTCCACTTTTTTTCATGTTCCACAACTGTGGTCTCAATTAACTAATTCAATTAAAATATGACGTTATTTCAAATTAAATTAATTCACATAAATAATACTTTACGAGTAAAATTTTTTGTTTACTTACCATTGATATGTTTTTACATCTAAAAGCAAGGAACCTGCCCTTACCGCAACGCTGAACAAGTTAAATAATGTCTCCTTTCAAACCTAGGAGAAACAGAAGTTAGTGAATGAACACATGGATGACGGGTGACCTAGTGAAGAAGGCCCACCCACACTAGGTGAAAAAGAAAAGAAAAAGATCACCTTTGTGTTTATTGTGTGTCCTTACAGCTTAGTAATGGTGTATTTTGAACTGCATTTTTAAAATAAATTAATTCTGTGTAAGAATTATATTAGATGCTAAGAGTCAATGCTAGCGTAGCGTTGCTAGCTGCAATTTATTAGCAGAAATGTCATTACCACCATGTTTTTACTTCAGCAGACCTTGTGTTGCGGTAGACAGAAGTTCAAGGCAAGCTATATATAAATTATATTGCAAATTATTATCTGAACATAAACATGTTTTTTTTTACCCTCAATGAGACGAAGTTTTACTGTAAAAAACATATAATGTTATGTGTAAGAAATGACATTTGACACACATTTGTTTTGGTTGTTCTGGGTGATATTGAAGCCACTATGACGTGCAGTTTTATAATCTTCAAAAAACATCCCTCTGCTTTAGGTCCCAGCCTACCATAACCATATCAGTAGTAGTGCAAGAACCACTGATAATTCACACAACACGGGGGAGGGGGAAACATAATTCCAGTGAACTTTGATATTTCTTTTTTAGAGAGGCAACAGAGCCGAGTGTCATTCGCAGCGAGCCTGCAGCACTATCAACAAGATGATTGATTTGGAAGAGATTGAAATTAGCATAGGAGTCCTCTGTTACTTTGGGACTTGGTAATGAATTTTTATTCTCAAAATACCCCACTTTTTAACCAGAGCACTATGAGATAACTGTTGTTGTGATCTGGCGCTATATAAATAAAATTGAATTGAAGATCTCTCCGCCTTGGCTGCCTGAAGCTACACTTTCCCTGTCCTCGTGACTGGAACTTCCACTAACCACAAGAAAACAAAAAGGGGAAAAGAGCACAAGTGTTTGCGGCTATAACAACGCTGTTGACACAATGTACAGATAACCTGCAACCCCTGCTGGATCAAAAGAACTACACAACGATCACTATTTAATGATTAATTAGGCTATAATCAAAACCCATGTTAAGTCTAATTTTTGGGACAAACCGTCAGGAGTCAGGACATCTGCTCATAATTCGGGACTGTCACAAATTTTTCGGAACATCTCGTCGCCCTAGTCACTAACCTAAATTAAAAATGCTATATTTAAGCCGACACAACCAAGCTCAGAGCAAATGAGCCTACAGCAGTGAGCTCAACACCACTGAAGGCCACAACAATGTGCACAGACAACTTTTTAGGGATACAGACCAGATACAGATGTGGAAAGTATTTCAACCAATATGGCCCATTCAACATGTTGCAACCGTGAGTGCTTTCCCACAGCAATCTGGCTCTCCAGGCCATGACTTTTAACACAGACATTGTTCTGGCTGTGTTACTACCGGCTTAGAGGCAGATCAAATCTGACTCCCCTTTCCAGCTCCTTCCCTATACAGCGCAGCGTGCCGGCATATGAGCGTAATTATAAAATAAGGAAAATGAGGTGGTGTGAAAGGCCAATATGACATCAACATTTTGACAACCTGCATGGCCAATGCATTGAGTCTTGGCTGTCCCATGGTATTGCAAGTGAATGTTTCTGGCAACCTTCAGAAAGATGAAGATGAAGAAAAGCACAGGATGGTTTCCCTCAAAGCCAGTGGTGCAGCCGTGCTTATCCGGTCACACGCAGCACTGTCTGTGGCTCTGTGTGGGCTCCAGTGTCCATAAGATGTGTTATGCCCAGCTCGTGGAAGAACATAACAAAGAGGGAAGGTCCACGCAGAAAACAGTTTAAATGAATCATAAGGTTTTATTAAAGTTACTTTAACTTATAATTAACTCAAAACACAAGTAAACTTGAACTCATCATACTCAAAGCAAACAACCAAAAGAAAAGGAGCTCCTGAAAGGCACCCGCCTTCCAGGAGAGAGGTCGCGATGGAAGAGAGCCATCTTGGTTCACCACAGCTTTTTAAGGACTACACAGGTGGCTGCAATCACCAACGAGGTGGGTGTGTCCAACCAAACAGTAAGACAGACCTGAAAAGAAAAGGACAGCCAACCCCCAGGCCCCAGGCCATCACAGATGTTACCTTGCTGTTGGTGACGGTGCTAATCTGTAGCTGTCTGCCGACTAGTAGCCTTCCACAACACAGTACAATGCACAAAACTGTTTAGCGGTGTGACAAACGATTTCATAACCAGCTAGGCTACTAACCGCCTCTGTATACTTAACTTACACTTTTCTTACTTCTGCAGCTGGTCAATACCTTTAGAGAAAAACACACTTACAGCAGCAGGCTGACTGATTTAACTCCTATCTGCTCTGCTTCTTAGTCCCACCCCTTAACCAATCACAATTTTAGAAAAGTGATAGCCATCTACAGAGATAAATCTGGGCCCTCTCTTACAGTAAACATGATAGTTCGCCATGGCTAGGATTGCAAAATACTTGCAACAACTGTTTTGTGGCAGTTGTCAAAAGCCGTGCCGCCGATGTAATGTAAGTGTATAATGTACATTTGCGATTAAAAATAATGGTTGTTGGTAAATGAATTACTGACCCCCACAGATGCATGATTAAGAGCTCAGACCCTCCTTATGGACCGTAACTAGAACCCTGCTGGACTATGTGGGCTATCAAACTGGAACACACATGCAATACAACATGTATACCTGTATTGATAATTTAGCAAATATCGACTTTTTAAAAATGAACGGAGACAATAGCCTACTGTAATAATACTTTTACTTTAGTCACTGTACACACACACACAGATTACACAGTTAGAAAAGGAATTGGCAGCAGTGACTGATTTGCATTATCCAAAACATTTTTTAAAAGTCTGAATGCATGGGTCTTGGCATGTTCCATCAAAATATCTACCACTATCAATATTTGTTATCTAAATCACGAAAATTAGGATATGCCAAGAGTGGCTGTGGTGAGGAGTAATATCTTTATGTGGATAACTGTTTAAATAAGTGTGTGTGTGTTAAATATCTCACTGCTCCAAAACAGCTGATTCAAACTATCAACTCGTTCTGAATCCTGAAGCTGCTTCGAGCAGCTGTGTTGAAGCAGGGAGAGATTAAATCATGCAGGACAGGGGGTAACTTTCTTCAGGAAAGGGTTGGGAAACACTGTAGTACATAAACTTAAATTCAACTAAGATCAATTCATACACCCGCAGAGTCTTTGCACACCGTTTAAGTGTGAAAAGCTACATCGAACGGTCTAAACGATTTAACAATTTTATCTTCTTTTAGACAAATAACTAACCTGAGCGTCGTCAACATGTTAAGACAAATGCAAAGCTATGCCCTTGCAACATGCTTTACAAAAAACAAATACACAGTAGCTTCATACAGTCTATGATTAACGTTAGCTTATGTTATCAAAAGGGTAAAAAAGCCCATCCTGCTAGCCACCGTTGGTGTAGCCTAACGTTACCTATTGTAGCAAGACGAGGGTGTGATTCTATTTAAATACATAATAACTTAGATAAGTTGCCAACAACGCCACCTGGGGAATTCACCCTAGGAAATACTGATAAGTCACACAGGTTCGCATGAAATAAGGCCAGGGCAGAGTGTGTTTCACATTTAAACAAATAATTTTATTAACAAAATGCTAATTAGAAACAACCACACCAAAAGTAACTTAACAAAAAGAAGAAAAAACATTCCAACTACATATACCGATTAAGAAGGCATGCCATTACTGGATAAAATTATGGGCCTAATAATTTAATATACAATATACTATTTAAAATACAGGATAAAGCAAAACACCAAAAATGAATCAAAACATGCAAATTAATTCAAACAAACCAAAATGAAAAACAGAAAGTTAAAAATAAAACACACACACACACACACACACACACACAAAATGCCAACTTTACAAACTAAATATACAATAATTAGACCCAACCAACAAAGAGATGCTAAAACCAGCAACCCCACTTAGAGCCAAGACAGAGCCGCAGATCACTGAAGGGAAGATTTAGCACCATTATATTATATTTCGCATGGTATGTATTCAATCAAATGGAATACAATACGAAAGACATGCATACATACCCCCAATGTTCCACAGCGCACACAAATAATAAGCCACAGGCCAGATCGAGACAGCCCGCACAGCAAACGATTCACTCCTAAACAACCAAGGGAGCATTGTGTTGAACCGCGATGCACTACCCGCACACAGCAGACAGTTCCATCAGCATGCAAGCAGACAGCACACTTACCACACGGACCGAGAGGTCCGAGGTTGTCAGGGCACCAGTGCAGTGCCATATAGTGTTGGGAGGGAGAAACGCATCACGTTATGTCCTGTGGGGATGTAAAAAACTGACCGGCCTGACAGTGGAGGTCTGCAGTTGGACCCCTCTCGGAAATGTTGTCATCATTCATACTGATGGACTGCTGATATCATTGCTATCCATTCTGCAACAACACACAGAGGCCAAAAGCTTGTCTACGGTCCCTTTCCTCATGAAGACATACAGGACTAAGTCTGCAAGAGGACTGAACCTAACAAAAATGAGAGACAGGGTGGTGAGTATATCCTCATATATGTCATACATGTTGTATATGCATAATTTTAGGAAGTTAAGGATGATGGGCAGGAACAGCAACGTGTATATAAGCAGCACCAGAACCAAAATTCCCACAATTCGTCGTTTTTCATCAGAGGAGACCGAGATGGAAGCAGACAGGGCTTTGAAGGTCCCAACCAGGAAGAAGATTAACAATGGGAAGGGAAGGAGTAGATAGATGACGATGGCCATTTGTGCCTGATCTATGAAAGAGAAAGCGAAGATAAAGACAAAAGGTTGGACCCACACTACAGCACAGAGCGCCACAGAGGTCTTGATGGTTCGTCTGAAGCGGTACCACAGCGGGTGGACGATGACCAAATACCTGTAACACAAGATGGACACAAAGTCTTTGAGGAGCTTCAGAGTTATAAACTAATATAATGTTCAGACACAGAAGGAGCTACACACATACTGGATAGACAGACAGATACCTTTCCAGGGCGATGCAGACCATGAAGCCAACACTGGCAAACAGACCAAAGAAGTAAAATAGACCGGAGACCATTTGTATTGCTTTATGCTCAGGTTCAGACACCTCAACAATCATGTAGCAGAACTGAAGGAGGTCGGAAATGAGAAGGTTGATGACGAAGATCGGAGCAACCTGATCACTTTGCACCTGCAGGAAAACATTGGTAAAAGTAAAGAAACTATGTATATACAGTATTTAACTAAATAAAAAACAATGCAAGTCTATCCAGACTTTTTAACTAACAGCATATTCATAACAGCAGCAATGAGTGTGGTTTTTACAAAACATAAAACTCTCTCCCGACTAGTGCATGCATCACTGGCAGTGAGTTTACATTTACTAATTTTTAATCCAAAGCAATTTATTATTGCTACACATCAGAGATCACACGCCTCTGGAGCAACTAGGAGTTAAGTGTCTTGCTCATGGACACATTTGTGGATATGTTGCAGTGGGAATTGAACTCAGGTCGCTCAAACGAAAGGCATGTGTCTTATCCACTGCATCATCGCCACCTAGTTGCTTTCTGTAAGTTTTACATTGCAGTGCCGCTTTAGCAGATGCAATAAATTAGATGTAGAATTGTATGCAGTTCAAAGCTTTTTGCTGGTCTCAAAATGTTAATCTATTTATTTATCTATTTACTTAAAAGGGACAGTGTATATTAATGAACAGAGTGGATTTTTGGTTATGCAAATATGCCAGATTAGCTTTTTTTCCATCTGTAGTCTTTGGCAGGTCGTTACAAGATCAATAAAAAGACAACATAATAATTTTCATTTTGGTGATGCTGCAATGGATGCCTTTGGTGTGAGAGACCCGGGTTCGAATCCACTGTGAGAAACCAATGTGTCTCTGAGCAATACACTCAGAGACACAATGCAATATAAAAATGTATAAGCGATTGAAATAAAATGAATTAGTTTATCCTCGAGGTGAAAAGATGCCACATTTAAAGAGACTTTCCCTGAACAAAGACACAACAAAGAGGGAAGACTAAATCATGAAAGAAAAAAAGTACAGAATGTTTGAAAGAGAGAGACCTACTGAATTATATTCTGGTATATTTTATATTTTAAATAGTCACCTGCTGCCTGAGTTTTGTGGATAGCCTAGATTAAAACATTTCCTCCATAAATTGATGCAGAAAAGGCAAGAACTGGTGCAGAAATGTTCTCCAGAGTGCAGGAAATTAAGTGTTTAATGCTAAAAACCTACACTCTTGCTTATTATGAACTAACCTATAATATTCTATACATTCTCTAGAATTAAAAGAAATACAGTCTCTGGTTTTGACACATAGATTCTGGGGAAGGAAGATTCCCCGATACATGGTTTGGTCGACATCATGTCTGGATGATCCTGATCACACTGATCTGACCATGATTATGGACTTGGCTTTTCATCTACACATGCATATGGCTGTGACATGCGCATTAAAGAGTGATGACCCCGACCCATGTGGTGGGTTATGACACAGAAGGCCTAAAATGGATCAATCTCCAATACCGAATCTCACTCCAAACTAAATTGAAAAGTTGGCAGCCCTGATTTATGTTTCCTGTAAAAACACAATGCTAGGACGTGATTTGTCGCAGATATTGATAGGCGTGTATCCAGTAGTTGAATGTCGGACCCAGGATCGCACACAGCCTCCGAGACCAATGGAGGCCAGTTTGATCGCTACGAATAGAGTACGAGTGGTTTTCTTGCCGGTTTGGCTCTTGGCTGAGTCAACTAATGAGGCTGTGTTTGGTCCTGTTCATGCCATGTTCACTGGGAGGCTCCTGAGCGCAGTTTTGTTGCCTGCTCGCCCGGCGCCGCTCCATCAGGGAACTCCATACATGACAGAGTTGAAGTAGAGCAGCTGGGGAACACAGAGCTGCCAACGCAATTGACACTTTTTACATGCCCTCACGCCATACATCAATTTTCTAAAACTAATGTAGCCTACAGTCTAAATAACGGCGTCGACTCCGTAAGATGACACTTCACTCAGCTGATGCGACACTGGCAGACGCTGTGACGAGAATCAAGCAAACCTGCTCTAGCGCAATGTGTGTCAGACAGTTTGTGATCAGGTAACGTAGCTGGTACAGGTTTGCAATAAAAAAATGTATAATCCAAAGCACAGCCTTGCTCTGTTGGGAATGTGAGATGCACGGAGCTGCTGAAGTTAACATGTGTTTTCAGCATCGTTTTGCACAGGTGTTGCGTATCTACTCTTTGTTACTAAAGTCATGAATAATAATATTCAAGAATATTATATCACAAGCACTTGTTGGGGCACCATAATTATACCTCTGAGGTTGGTCGCATCTTACTTTTACATGTTAGCATGCTAAAATCTACTAATTAGTAATAAAGTACAGTTGAGACGGAATGTCATTAACTTTGCAGGTATTAAGTTATAAATCAAATCAATAGACATTTATTTAAAAAAAAAAAAAAAGGTCAGAGGATCACTAGTGTTATTATAATTCAACATCTGGACTCCATGAATGTCTATATCATTTTTTGGCAATCCACTACTTGTCAAAAACATAATTTGAGCCCAAACAATGCTGCACAAACTGCTCTGAAAACTAATTTTTCTTTTTCTTTAAGTTGTTAAGGCTGGATTGAGCCACATATGTAAACTGCATGTGTTTAGGGTCCAATCAGTTGAAGTAAATTATTCTTGTAAATATATAGGTCATTAAAACCTTTTGTACTAAAATACTTTACAGACAGACACACGACATAGACTGGAAATAAATAAATATTTCATAATGTACATACCATATAATAAAGAGCATAGATGGCCATGAGGCTCAAGGGAAGACCGATGGCGATTATTATGTATGTCAGCACTTGCATGATGAATGGAACTTCTTTGTAATACTGCGTGGTGTTGAAGTTGCTGTTATAGTAGTCAGTGGTGATGTTGCTGTAATTATAGCTTTGATCCTGTGAGGTGTTGTTAATGTAGTAGTCCTCCATTCCTCTGAGGGAAACCCGTTTGAGAGGTCAGGTTATTAAAAGGGAGCAGGTTTTTTAATATCTACATCATTCAGTGACATCACTCACTCAAACTGTAAGGTTCAAGTTTTGTAACTTGTGTCTTTTTAGTTTTTAATAGTCATATAAATATTAAATTAATATTCATTTTCATGACTGCAGTTCTCATCATCTCTACATAAGAAAAATGAATGTAACACAATTTACCTTTGAAAGCTGTGAGACTCCACCTGAATGAGTTCCCTACACCAGTGTCTAATATGTTGTCTTCTGCATCCAAACAGTCAGTAAATATGGTGAGTGACAACATGCAGTAGGTTCCTGTTAATCTGCACCTCCTCTTCTAAAGGAAGTAAGAAGGGCACAAATATGCAGGGCCGTCCTGTTGGCTAGAGTTTTGAAATAATTTCTGATAGACATTTTTTTTAACAGTTTCAGACATCATAATAAATGGTGCACAATATTTTTTAACAAATGAGAAACGATATGAGAATGTTTTACACCACAGCTACCAGAACAGCAAAATTGAACACCAACATACTGTCATTTAAGGCAGCCAAAGCAACAACACAGTTGACTGCATTAAAGTAAATATTGACACTCCTTCAAGGGGACACAGTGGGGGAATTAAAAGGAAATGAAATGAAATCACACTAATAGAATTAATCAAATGAATCAGTCTTAGTACCTGACTTGTAATACTCTCAATACGTTGATCCTAGTTCCACTTTTGAAGAAATACTTGGTGATACGTGAAAAAATGTATGCATAGCTAAATGTTTTTTTACCAAGTGAGAAAGGTGAATTAATGAGGTGTTGACAATGATTAATGATTATTGCATGAAATCAAGATCAGAACAGATGTAGGGAATAGATTGTTTAAATTGCAATGTAGATTGTTGTCCACTTTGGTGATAGCGAAAAGGAGTAAGTAATTTCAGATATCAGAGGAAATGAGTGAAGGCTTGATCCATCCATCCATCCATCGTCAACCGCTTATCCTGCGTACAGGGTCGCGGGGGGCTGGACCTCATATGCCACCCGATGACTTAGATGATTGCAAAAGCTGCCATAAGAATTATTCTTGGCAGTTTGTAGGCAGGCGCTGTGCATGATTAATCTTGATCTGTAGGCTGGTAGCTGTTGTCACGACGAATAGAAACTGACTGAAATACAAAAAGCTAAACAGAATAAACTTGACTTGCTTTCACTAAAGTTAAAATACAATTTGGGCAAAGAAATAAACTTTTAAAATAAGAGAAATCTCAGGAGAAATAATAAATTTAAGAGGTGCAGCACTTAGAAACATCTTAGGTACTGTATATAAAGAGAAGAGTGATGGTTTTATCTACCATGGATCAGAGGATGATAAGCAGACTTTCTATCCAGCTTGCTGTGTGGAATAAATTCATGAACGGACAATTTATTTATTCTACATCATATTTGGACTGTTCTTCAAGAAAACATGTCTTTAATAGTGTTGGCTAAATTGATTGATTAGTTTAACTTATACATTAATATATACATTTGGTTGACAAAAGGGCTTTTTCCAAGTAATTTCTACAGGAATGCATCCAAAGATTTATGTCACATCTGCAGACGTCTTTCACTGGAGTGAGAGAAAGAGTGATTTTACCTGTGTGTGTGTGGCAACTGAGAGATATAAATATGTTACAGCCAGTTGAATTAAAGAAAGCTTGATTGTCTCAGCTATGCTGTTAAAGGTCCCATATTATGCAAAATGCCCTTTTCAGAGTATTTTCAACATAAATATGTGTCACATGGTGAATCTCAAATGTATCTCTTATCATACACCTTGCATGTTAATATCGCAAAAACATCATGTAACCAAATTCAAGGTTATTGTGGCTAGAAGTGGGTTACTCATAGCCGGACTAAATTGGGTCTATAGTTAACCCAGACAGTGAAATGACAACTATTGCCTGCTGGGTAGTGACTATAGTAACTACTAAGAACAAGTAAAGCTGTCCATTCGAAAAACTTCATAAATCGATGAAAGATGAGGCAGAGTAGCCGGAGGACATCAGGGGGACAACCAGAAAATATTTTCTCCATACAATATGATCCAGTTTCACCAAAATCAGTGACGTAATAAAGTTGTGTTTTTGTACTGTAATCAGTGAGGCCCGGCGAACAGAAACACTCTGCTCTTATCATTTTTTAAAATCTAATTCTTGTCTCATTTGTGGTTTGATGAACAGTGAATTCATCAAATTCACTGTTCCATGTTGTTATTTTCCAAGCTAGGTTATTGTAGCTGTCATAGCCATTGAGCACACCGGCAAGCAGATGAGGTGGTGTGGACCACAAGTATTGGTTGCTGCCAAGTTAATCTTGCACATCACTGTTTTCCTTAAACATACAAACTATTACCTCAAAGACATGTCAGATCTCAGATGTAAGAGTCACAGTAGTGCTTGCTGGATGTGACACGAAACATATAGTTGATAGTGAGTAACAGTCTTTACCTTTAAGGAAGTTCCAATAAATATTCAGTGTGGGTATTTCCCCTAGATTAATTGCACGACAAATACAAGCATAATCATTTTGCCCTGGCATATGTAACAATCTTTATTAACAACAGTTGATACAAAAAGTCACTATATGCATAGTGTTTATGCTGCTATTACTTGAGACTAGTAGTAGAAAGGCTGCAAGCTCTCAAAGGTGCAGTCAGACATGTCCATCAGGAAGCTCAAACGTCTTGTAGTAAAAGTCCCGGTACGTGCACACATGCTGATAAACGTTGCTGAATGGGATCTTGATGACAGGGTCCTGGAGGGGAGTAAAAACAACAAGAGGAGTTCATTTCTAAAGAATAATGGCACAGAGCTATTAAGCTACACATCAAAGGTAGGGTGAGGATCACTAGGCTATTACTGCAAGAGCATTAGGAAGGGATTTGTTATTGGATAGAATGAACGGAAGGAAAGATTACAGCGGGCTCTTTCAAAGTACACTTGGCACCTGACTATTGTTTTAAGACGGACTTGAAACATTGTCAACCTGCTTCAAAGCATAGTCTCTGGACCGTCACAGCAGCAGTCAGCTCAGATGGGTGAGATATTGCTAGAGATGCAGCATCCTGTCTCACAGAGATAAGGTCCAAACCAAATGCATATCCATAATCCATCTTTCACTGCATTTTATTAAACCAAAAGTTCCCCTTGATTACTCCGTAGCACACGTGTATTGAATATTCACCTCATTTACTACTTGCTAAATACTAACCATAAACCATGAACATAAAGGTGGACCATAAGGATTCATGTGTTGTTGTGCTGCTCTCCTGTGCTCTCCATGTACAGCCCTTCCCCCTGCCTCACCGCTGTGGCAAGTGATTGGTAGCAGCTGCTCCTAATTCCAATCAGTACCTGGAGGATAAGAAGGACTGGAGAGCAGGATAGTTGGGCCCAATCCCAATGTCCACCCTCACAGACTTTGAGGCGCGTTCCAGGGAAGTCCGTGAGGGCCGTCCCACTGTCAAATTGTCAAGTGTGCGAGGGCTCTCTCGCGCACTTGACAATTAAAACTGAAAAACTTAAACAAGACTTGCACTTTAATTAAAATCTGTGTATACGTATTTGAAGATCATGCAGTCAGCCCCTGGACAACAATGGTATTTCTATCACCAAGCTCAGAAAAAAAGTGATTAGTGATCTTGATTACAAAATACAGAATAAAATAAAGTACTTTGTTAATATGAGTAAAAACTGGTGAGCTATTACTCAAAATCTCAATAAAAATGATCATTTTTAATAAATTTGATGGTGATATAAAAATCAAATTGTATAACAGCTTTGTTGTTTTGAAGACAAGTAGAGTAAAACTGCCACTTCAAGCCTACAAGGCGTTTGATAAGATGAGGACATGAAACCAAAATGTGAATCACATGTCCTGTGTGCTTTGATTAGATGCAATCAGAAACCAAAGAGAGACATTTCAATTTGTTGGTTTCATGATGTTACCCCTTATCTTTGCACTAATTTATCAGAATACCACTACTACTTACAGATTGTTTCTGAACAGCCAATCAAATCTTTGCATTAGCAGTAACCTCAGTGTTCTGTCGTAGGGAGACAGTCAGACTAAGAGCCACAGACTTTGAGCATCAACCCACGTTAGCCTTCCTGCCAAAGTTTCCTTCTTATCTAACTTGTCTGAGAAGCATCAGTTTTTAGGCTAGATAGCTGATTGGCTGCTCAGCTGCATTAAACAGCAAGCATGCCAGCAAACAGGACGTGCACACACAGGCCCTGTCTACACGAACACGGGTATTTCAAAACCGAGACTTTTTCAGTGCAGTTTGGCCGTTCGTCCACATGGAAACGCAGTATCAGGTCACTGAAACCGAACATTTTTGAATACCCCTGCCAGCGTGAAGATTTTAAGAAACTCCGGTTGCAGTGTTGTCGTGTAGACAGTAAAACCGGAGTTTTTCCGGTCAGAGTGTGCGTCGTTATCTGCTGTGTTTGATGTCAGATTGTGTGCCACAGCCTGCTTTGTTTACCATTTTAAAAGGCTCTGATTGGAAAACGTGGCTTAGAGGTTAGGATCATATTGCCGCCAGGTGGTTTGGCATGCTCTTGACAGTGCTTGATAGCGTGGTTTTGCATTTTTGTGTAGACAGATTTTTAAACGAGGGAGGAAAAACTCGAAAAACACGTTTGGACTAGGCCATGGCGGCTTCAGCACCTGCACAAGAGAAAGTGTCCGTTTTATGGGTTGATGGTGGCGCTGCCTTTGGTGTGAGAGACCCGGGTTCAATTCCCCACTGTGACCCATCCACCATTGTGAGCAAGACACTTAACCCCTAGATGTGACCTCTGACATATATAGCAATTGTAAGTTAGGCCATGGCGGCTAAGCTAAATGTAAATGGGGTGCTTTAAAGTGTGTGTGTGTGTATAGATAGCATAGATTATCAGTAGATGAAAGTATCTATTCACCTACATTTCTCC